GGAAATTTTGAAAAGTGAGATAATAAAGGCCCAGTCTAGCACAATACCAACAAAGAAGAAAAATAACAGCTCTCAAAAGAAACCAGCATGGCTGCATAAAGAACTCTCTGATTAATTGAAAGATAAAAAGGACAAGTATAGAAAGTGGAAAGAGGGGCACATAACTAAATCAGAATATCAACAAATAGCCCGATCCTGCAAAGACGAAGTGAGGAAAGCTAAGGCTCAAAATGAACTAAGGCTTGCAACCAAAGTCAAAAATAACAAAAAAAGCTTCTTTCAACATGTAAAAAACAAGAAACAAGTGAAGGAAATGATTGGTCCATTAGTGGGGGAAAGTGGCAAGAAGGTGACAAGCAACAGGGAGAAAGCGGAACTATTTAACTCGTTTTTTGCATCTGTCTTTACACAAAGGGAAAAAACAGACCAACCTACCAAAAATAGTGCCATAAAAAACAGAATAGAAATGCAAGTTAAGATAGGCAAGAAAACGGTAAGTGAGCACCTGTACAGCCTAGACGAATTCAACTCACCAGGACCAGATGGATTACACCCCAAGGTTCTTAAGGAACTGGCAGATGTGATCTCAGAACCACTGAACTATATTTTTCAAAGATCCTGGAGCACTGGGGAACTACCAGAGGACTGGAAAAGAGCTGATGTAGTTCCCATCTTCAAAAAAGGAAAAAAAAGGACCCAGGAAATTACAGACCTCTCAGCCTGACCTCAATACCTGGGAAGATCCTGGAAAAGATAATCAAACAACGAATCAACAAACGCCTACAGGCAAACAAAGTCATTACTAAAAGCCAACACAGGTTTGTCAAAAACAGATCATGCCAGACAAATCTTATTACATTCTTTGACCAAGTGACAAAGTTAGTGGACCAGAGAAATGCTGTGGATATAATTTACTTAGACCAATAAGGCATTTGACAAAGTAGACCACAACCTACTACTTGATAAGATAGAAAAATGCGGGTTAGACAGCATCACCACCAGTTGGATCTATAGCTGGCTGACCGGCCATGGAACGGCATCTACATGGAGGGAAGTGTGTAGTGGGGTGCCCCAGGGCTCTGTTCTGGGCCCAGTGCTCTTCAACATCTTCATCAACGATCTGGATGAGGGGATAGATGGGGAACTCATCAAATTTGCAGACGACACCAAGCTGACAGGAATAGCCAACACTCCAGAAGAAAGGTTTAGGATACAGGAGGATCTGGACAGACTTGAACACTGGGCACTAACAAAATGAAATTCAATAGTGAAAAAAGTAAGGTTCTACATTTAGGCAAGAAAAAACAAATGTACAGGTATAGTACAGTGGGTACCTTGCTCAATAGTAGTAATTGTGAGAGGGATCTCGGAGTCCTAGTGGACAATCATTTAAATATGAGTCAGCCATGTGCTGCAGTTGCCAAAAAAAGCCAACACAGTGCATTAACAGAGGGATAGAATCAAGATCACGTGAAGTATTAATACCACTTTACAATGCCTTGGTAAGGCCACACTTGGAATACTGCATCCAGTTTTGGTCACCATGATGTAAAAAAAGATGTTGAGACTCTAAAAGAGTACAGAGAAGAGCAACAAAAATGATTAGGGGACTGGAGGCTAAAACATATAAGGAACGGTTGCTGGAATTGGGTATGTCTAGTTTAACGAAGAGAAGGACGAGGGGGGACATGATAGCTGTGCTCCAATATCTCAGGGGCTGCCATAAAGAAGAGGGAGTCAAGCTATTTTCCAAAGCGCCTGAAGACAGGACAAGAAGCAACGGGTGGAAACTAATCAAGGAGAGAAACAACCTAGAACTAAGGAGAAACTTTCTGACAGTTAGAACAATTAACCAGTGGAACAACCTGCCTCCAGAAGCGATGAATGCTCCAACACTGGAAGTTTTTAAGAAGAAACTGGACAGCCATTTGTCCAAAATGGTATAGGGTTTCCTGCCTGAGCAGGGGGTTGGACTAGATGAGGCCTTTTCAACCAGTGGTACGGGTACCACCTGTGGTACATTGGCACTTGGCAGGTGGTACATGACCATCCTAGAAAAGTAGTGGGGGAGGGGAATGAGTTGAACCGGTGGCAGCACTGCACAATCCTGAGCATGAGACAGCTGGAGCTGCAGGGCGTCAGGGCTCAGCGGAAGCGACAGGATCAATGTCGCTTTCCAAATGATCGGCGCTTCTTTGGGGCTATCAGGACTCAGTGGAAGCACCAGGATCAGCGCCAGACTCCAGCTGGAAAGCAGCACTGAAGCTGGCACTTCTGCTGAGCCCAGAAGAAGCGCCGATCAGCTGGAATGTTGCAGCATCTCCAGGGTCTTGTGATTTACATTCAGATGCTTGGCAACTGATTCATATTTAAGACTGTCACAGTGTCATGTGACATGACTAGGTTTTGGTCATGAAGTGACCAAAACCTGCTGCAACCACCCAGCAGACGGGGGGAATAAAAACCAAACACCCCCCCACCCCCGCTGCCAATCCTCAACAGAAATGCTCACAACAATGAAAATCTTGGACAGGAGGAAGTGCGCCGAGTAGGCAGGCAGGTGTCTTGCTCGGCTGTGGCTTGGGGGGCACTTTTTTCAGGGCCACTGTAACTTTGAACAGTCACTAAACGAACGGTTGTAAGTCGAGGACTATATCACTTTTTTCGGGTTTTTTTGGTCAAGTTTTTGACACGTTGCTAGGCGACTGGTGGTACTCGGATGTTGCCATATCCCAAAAGTGGTACAATGGGTGAAAACATTGAAAAGCCCTGGACTAGATGACCTCCAAGGTCCCTTCCAACTTTATCATTATTATTATTATTATAAACCACATTTGACTTCAGTAGGACTTATTACCAATCAGCCTCATTAAATTATAGAATAAAAATATACACTTTTGATCCACAGTTTGGTTAAACAACATTTACTTTATAGTCTTTTACTTAAACAAACAGGACCTATTTCCCAGAACATGATGTCAAGGGATAAGAGTTCACCAGAAGTACTGCAACTGCAAAAGCACTTCTGTGCAATCCACCAATTTGACTGCTAAACTATGTTTCTGGAAAACTTCAGGGCACAAAGAATTTAATGATTTTAACACAAAGCCACTATTGCAACGTTATCTGAAACAGCTGCAAGTAGTTTAAACAGATATAATTGTATCTATTGCACATTGACTCAATCCATGACTGAAGAAATATCAAACTGCCAAAAGTAACAACCAGGTAGTCTTGTCATTGCATTATAGAGACCATTATATACAATTTGATATTCCAATTAAGGCTTACAAAGGAGAGCATAGCAAAATATTTACCTTAGAAAAGGAAGCTCCACTAGGATAGGTCAAGAATAATAGTAAGGAATGTTATCAGCTTCGTATACATTCACTGTTGCTATCGCATCTGAGTTGTTACCACCATCACTAGCAAATATTTTAGAACTGACTTACAGAGTAAAAAGACTATAAAAGGAATCAGGAAAAAATGTATACTTATTTTAATTCAGTAATAGAGAATATATTCCACTATCAAAACATACTTCCCACCTATTTTGTTGTTAACTATTAGTTGCTTTAAAATATAACTAGTCCTGCAGATCGTCTGTTGAGCACATTTTTATGTTACAATCTTCAAAAAGTCTTTATGAAGAATAATAATCAATCTTCAGCACATGTTTTCTACAAAATAAAAACATCTATTATTCTATACTATATTTTAGAAGATGAATCTAACTAGGAAAACATCCAGAATTCCTAATATTCATAATCAAGGAATTCTTGTTAAAAGGAACCAGATATCTATCCTCATTTCAACTAACACTTCCCATCCCCCCAAACAAGCTCAGCATTTTAGAAATATAAGTATGTACCACATTCACCTTATTTTGTAGTCAGCTTGGGAATCCAGAAAATGATCCCATGGATCATCAATAATCTATGTTCCTACTGACTCCTGACTCATTTACAAAATGCATTCTTCAGCACTGTTGCAGTGATCCCAAAACCAAACATTTCTTGTAACATCTAAGTACCTGGACGGCAAATAAAATGCTATCAGTTATCCGCTAGGGAAAAAAATAACTAATACACTTTTTATTGATGATATTGTATCTAATCATCATACCAGCTTGTGATAGCCCTGGATTTTGCATTTATATAATATTAGATGAAAAGTTCATGCTTTAAAATTATCACTTGACACTGATCGCCATCCAATATAGAGACCCAGTTAATTGGGCCCGTCCCCAACTATAACAGAATGGAAGTTGATTCTCCAATTGTAGTTCAATTCCCATCAGCTCCAGTAAACATAGTTAATAATGTAGAATGAGAAATGCAGTCCAGACCAAAGTTGTTACATGTTCCTTTTTCTACAGGGGAAAAGGATCTTTTAGATTCCAAGACTACATCATTCTCAAGTCTCCAACTGCTGAGAGGAAATGGGGTGGGTAGAAATATAAATTGGTAAGGGAGGGGAAACAACATGGCCACAGGCCAACTATAACATCTCTCTTCTATTACACAAACAAACATTTTAGTATTTAGTTCTGGAGAGCCAAATACGTCCAGCTACTAAGATGACTCCAAAGGCAGAGATAACAAACCACTAAAAAGTGCCACTAAAGCATTTGGGACATAGGTAGACAATCTAACATCACCCTGAATGACCTCTACTGCTACAGCTGTACAGTGTCACCTAAAACACAAGGATCTTCTACATAACATAGCCCAAACCTTCATTGTATTTATATCAGGTTTTCAACTGGAAGTCCTGTCATGAGAAACTGCCAGTCTGGTGACCTAGAAAAGTACCAGACTAATACATTTTGGAAAGCCAACCCCAGATTATTTGATCAGCAAATCCAAAGCAGGCTTGCCAATTCCAGAAGTGCAGCCCAGCCTCATTCATGACCATCTTTGTGCTTTAACAGATTTAACATTTTTTACCCAAATTACAAGCAAACAGCAGCAGACGGTGCACAGGAGCTTCCCACTGACCTGTCCGTGATTGCGGACTGTGTGCCACTCATTGGAGCCCTCGGCAACAGGACAATTTTTTAGCCAATCTGCATCTTACGGGTGATTTGATGTGATTGTCACTTTCCCACACTCACACCCGAGTTCAGAATCTAGCCGTATTCCAAAAGGAGAGCAGAATTAAAAGCCACCAGCCACACAGGTCTTTTCAGCCTTCCAAAAGATCCACCTCCCAGGACACTCGGGAGAAGCCAACGGGATGCTCTTCTGCCAGGAAGAAAGGAAAGTCGTCACAGCCATGATGCACTCCTCTGGAAATCCAGCCGTTGTTGTCTCGGTTCAAAAGGAAGACCCATCTCCGTTGAAGGACAGTTAACTGGCCGAAGAAGGTGCCTCTCCTTCAAGTCCTCCCTCCGAGCTCATTACAATCCCAGGATCTTCTCCAAGTCTTTACTGCACCCAAGGCCAGCCAGGTAGGTAAAGCGAAGTCCTCAATGCTGGGGCTGCTCCCCTCCAGAAAGGCCCAAAGAAAAACAAGAGAAAGGAATTGGGGGGTGGGGGAAAGAGGGGGGGTGATGTAGAGATGCAAGGCAGGAGAGCAGGAAGGGATGGGGGAGCTTTCTGGCTTCTTCCCACCACCCTTTAAAGAAGCTTTCCTCCAGGTGTCTGCGAAGGTCCACTGTCTGGGTGCTGAGAAGCCCCCCCCCAAAAGCCTTTGTGGGGCGGCCTTTCAAACTTCCAAGTTCATGGAAAGCAGCACCCCCCCAAAGAAAGGCAGGCCGGCCTTTTCCTGGGGGGGGGGATGTCAAGAAAAAAGGGGGGGACAGCGGGGTCCCCTTTGGAGCTGCGCCCCTTCCAAGTGGGGGGGTCACACCATGCCTTGAGAGAGATAAAAACGAAATACAACCTCCTCTATTCGCGGGTGGAGGCGCAGAGACCCCTCCACGAAGCCAGGCGCCCCCGCCAACTCAGTCCCGCGTTCCCCCCTGCGGGCTGGGTCGGAGGAGGAGCCCACTTTGGGCCCCGGCCCGCTTCCTAGGCCTCGGTGGGCTTCATCCCGCCCGCAGGGCTGCTGACAGGGCGGCGGCGGCGGCGGGAGCGCCCCCCCCCACCGGCCCTTTCCGGCCCGCTCGGCCGACTCGGCCCGTCCCGCCTGAGGAGATTCCGAAGTGACGAGCAGCCGCCGAGGAAGAAGTTTAGCCCGGTGGCCGCCGCGGCCGGAGAGGGGAGAAGCGGCTCTCGGCTGCCTGGCGACCCGCTGCTTTGCCGCCGCCGCCGCTCCTGAGGAGAGAGCCTTTTCCTCAGGCCAACGGTCCCCGCCGGCTTCCCTCAGCCAGGCCTCGGCTCTCCCTCGGCAACCTTCGGCCCTTTCCGGCACTCCCGGGACTCGTTTTCCTTCGCCTCGGCTCTCGCTTCCCCTGCGACGTCGGCCGCCTCCTCCCCCCTCCGCTCTTCCCTCCCCCCTCCCTCCGCTCTCCAATTTTTTTTTTTTTCTTTTCCACCCGACCTCGCGAGATTCCTCCGCCAGGACTCCGCCTGACGTGGTTGTGGGATTTTCCCCTCCTCCGTAGCCTGTCGCTTCCGCCGGGGTGGGAGGAAAAAAAAAAAGAAAGGGATGTGAGGAAAAGGAGTCCCTTGAAGGATGGGGAGGCTGGAAAGCAAAAGCCCCCGTTGTTTAAGAATAAGGGGGGTGGGCGGGGGAGGGAGAGAGGGTTCCAAAGAAGCGACTAAGTGCAGCGAGGTGGTCTGGGATGGCGTGCGAAAGAGACAGGCAAAGCCACAAAAAGTGAAGTTGGGGCAGAGTTGCAAAGTTGCTTCCACTTCTGTGAATTAATCAACTGAGCTCCTCTCCTTCCTTTTTAAAGAGAGATTTCGAAGTTAGGTTTGTGCGGGACACAGACAAGGACCACAACTGCTCAGAATCTCCAGCAGCTAAGACCTTGGGAAAGTTTTGGCCCTAATGTACACTTTCAACTGGGCAAAATGTGTTTTCGTTTGCTAACTGCTTTTGGGGAGGTCTGCAAAACCAGGCAAGGTGATGCGATTTATTTTCCCTTCCTATGGACATCCTCCCAGAGGGTGAAAGAGAGAGAGAGAGAAAGAGAGAAAGAGAGAGACTCAGAGAGTCTTTAGTGCTTTAAGCAGAGTGTACTTATGAGCCTGCTCTGTCACAAAACCGGTTCTTTAAATACAAATATATATCATGTACATGCAAAACATCAAGAAATGGAAAGCAGGGCTGGCAACCCCAATTAGTTGATGCATCAGGAGAACCATCTTGCTAATAAATACAGGATTTTTTAAAATGTTACTTCCCCTCCTCCTTCCTGGTGTTTTTGCTTGGCAATGCTTGAATAATATCAGTTAAAATCTTGCAACCTTTAAGATAATTAAAACTTTAAAGGCTAGGTGGAATAAAAGGAAAGGGTTGGTTGGAAACCCTGTAGCTCTTGGGGAATGTTTCTAGCATGAATTCCGTGGTTTGACTTGGCAACCCAAAGATAAGGAAATATTTGATGTGAAACAAGATCTTACTCTTTCTGAGCAAGTGAGGTCATTCTACAATAAGTCTGCTAGATAGGTTTCTTCCTGTTTGTGTCTAAGTCCAGTGACACAAAGCTGACACAAACAGAATGACTTGCATTAGAGAAGACCTGTCTATGGAGATGATCAGTCATCCACTCATGGTTGTCCCAGGGATGCTTTTTCAAAAGGCAACTGGACTTTGCTTTTCCTTGAAGATGTTTTGCTTCTCATCCAAGAAGCTTCTTCGGTTCTGACTGAAGAAGCTTCTTGGATGAGAAGTGAAACGTCTTCGAGGAGAAACAAAGTCCAGTTGCCTTTTGAAAAAGCACCCTTGGGATTAGAGAAGACAAGCTTCTTTCCTCTCAGGAGAAAGTAAGACATTTTCTCTGAAAGGATCTTCCAGGGCTGAATTAGCTAAGGAAAGGTCAAAAGGTCTTATATAACATGGTTTGTCAACCGTTGCAACTTTAAGGTACTAAGGGGGAGAAACATTGCCATGCAGATAATAGCATTACAAATGGTACCATAATTTCCTTGGCTGAGCAAGGTGGCTGTTCAATGAGTCACACCCAATTTTACAAACTATTTTGTCACATTTATTAAGCAAATAGCACTTAGCAATAGCACGTAGACTTATATACTGCTTCATAGTGCTTTTACAGCTCTCTCGGTTTGCAGTGTCAGCCTCTTGCCCCAACAATCTGGGTCCTCATTTTGCCAACCTCGGAAGGATGGAAGGCTGAGTCAACCATGCGCTGGTCAGGATCGAACTTCTAGCAGTCGGCAGAGTTAGCCTGAAATACCGCATTTTAACCACTGCACCACCACAGCTCTTTATCATGCAGTTGTTAAGCAAATCCGTCTTTCCCCTTTATCAGGAGCCAATGGGAAGATCACAAATGGTAATCACGTGATCCTGGGACATTGCAAATACACGCTGCTTGCTGAGTGTCTTGATCATGTGACTACAGGGATGTTGCAACGGTCATACATGTGCACACCGGTTGTTAGTCACTTTTTTCAGTCCCTCTATAACTTTGAACCCTCACTAAGCGAATGACTAAGTCGAGGATTACCTGAACACTCTGCAGGGTTGAATATGCAATACTGTCTGCAAGCATCATTTTGTATTATATGTGCAAGCGTCTGTGTGTTTGTGTGTGTGTTGGTGAGAGGCATAATAACACATGTTTATATTTATTCATGGCATGGAAACAATGGATTGGGGTTTCAGTTTCTGCCCTTCTCACAGAATTAAAGCCAGTTGCTGCATAAGACAAGCCGAAGAAGTTGTGGCATCTGTGTGGGTTTCACGCTGGTATTTGGCTTGCCGTGGGATAGAGAGAAAAAGGAAAGAAAAGGCTGGATGACAAAGAAGCCTTGCTTTTCAGTTCCTAATTGTTAAAGTTGTTTATCCCATCACTTTTTAAAAATAAAATAAAAGCCCTTTGTAACCATAAGGACTAGACTAGAGGCTTACAGTTTAAGGCCCTTCCATTTTGGATTGGTTCTCTTATTGTGTTTATCCGAGGTTTGTTTAAGCTTCCTTTAGTGGCTCAAGTTAGTTAGGTCTGCATAAAATGCTAAGTGACAAATCATGATTTAAGAGTTGGATTCCTGCAAAGGTCACCTTGAAGCAAAATGGGCGACAAATCAAATCAAATCAATAAATAAAGATTCCAAGTCCATAGCCAGCAATTTGCATTATGGCTTGTAGTGTAAATGGTAGGAACAATCAGAGGTTATATATCAAAAGCTACACATTTCTTCAAGCTGTGGCTGCGGGCTGTCTTTTTCACGAGTGAAAAGCAAAAATAAGTACTGAACAGGTCACCTTTTTTTCCCCCATGAGACTTTAAAATATGAAGGTTGTCCAAATAAAAACTTTGTACCAAGACTGACCACGTGGCTGTTTAGATCACTGTTTCTCAACCTTCGCAACTTTAAGATGAGTGGACTTTTAACTCCCAGAATTCCCCAGCCAGCTCACTGGGAGTTGAAGTTCATACTGGTTTAGACTTTAAGAAAGATTCTTAAAAAGAGAGTGGAATTTTTATCTTCTGGCATTTTCACAGTGACGACTCCCATAAACTTCCCAGAAGGGGACAGTGCTCAATGTATTGACTCAGGGAAAAAGAATAGCTGAGCTGAAAGTCCGGGATCCAAATTGTTTCTGAGAAACTGCCTACTCAGAATAAAAGGACTGCAAACTTTTATTGACTTTTGCAGCTCTCTGGTAGATCCACAGCCATCAGGGGAAAACACTCCGGCTAGGCTAAGCAAGGTTTCTATGGCAGGACTCGTGCCTCGTTTATTTCCGCTTGCCAGGAAATCCATGGGCGACCTGAGACCGTTTATTCTCTAATGCTGCAATCTGTCACCATTAAAGCTTTGTTGCCACACGAGTTCTTTTAATTCACAGCATTCTGGCCCAAATGAGCAGCCTGAACAACATCTATTGGGATGGCAGGAAGAGTTGGAAGAGGCTCTGAATTTCCAGGGAACATTCTCAGAAGGAGAGGAGAAAAGATTAAAATAGCAAATTAAAATTAAAGATGGCTGCCGAAGTCATCCACTCCGTTGTAGGATTGAAGCAGCTCAAAACTATTTTTTAATAAATACGATTTACACCAGTGTTTCTCAACCTTGACAATTTTAAGGCATGTGGACTTCAACTCCCAGAATTCCACAGCCAGCAATGCTAGTTGTGGAATTCTGGGAGTTGAAGTCCACATGCCTTAAAATTGTCAAGGTTGAGAAACACTGATTTACACACTCATACAAAACCAGCACGCTACTCCTCTGGTGCAGTGTTTCTCAACTTTGATATCATTAAGATGGGTGGACTTCAACTCCCAGAATGCTAATCAACATTCATGTCAGAGATGTAAAGAAGAAAAACCGGATTTTTGCAAGCCATTAGGTGGTTGTTGTTGCTTTTAATAATTAAAAAAAAGCTTGCAAAAACCTCCTTTTAAAATGATGGTGTCTCTTTTAGAGAAAATTGGCGAGACAGAAATAGTAAAACTGGCAGATTATGAGACAAAGGCTATGAAAATGGAGCCTTTCAGTAGCACCATTTCAAGAAACAATTATGTTTATTATTATTATGTATAGCGCCTGGTTTGTGGAAAATGAATTTGATCCAGAAACAGAGACCTCCTTCATGCATCATCCAAAGCCACAACTTTATTATACTAAATAAACTCCAGGCTAGTTGTGATTTATCTATCAAACTGTAAATTATGATGCTTGATTCACCCTTCACCCATGTGGCTTCTCCAGTTTTGGTTTAGAGGGATGTGTATATTTAGCAAACTAAATCCGGCAATATCTAGTTAAGTGAAACATGTCTTACTGCATGATACAAAACTTAGTATGGTTTTTTTTTTCCAAACTGTCAAAAAAATATGATAGCCAGAAGCTTTAGTGTTTTTAAGGCAGTGTTTCTCAACCTTGACCATTTTAAGGCATGTGGACTTCAACTCCCAGAATTCCACAGCTAGCAATGCTGGCTGTGGAATTCTGGGAGTTGAAGTCCACATGCCTTAAAATGGTCAAGGTTGAGAAACACTGTTTTAAGGGAACAGGACAAGTTTGAGAAGGATAAGGACAGGAGGATCTTGCTGATAGTACATGTCCCATCTCTGCTTCACCATCGTGTGTATTAATAAAAAGAAAATCTATTTATTGTTGGCTTTTTAACAACGGATTTTTTTTCTGTGGATGCATACGATGGTGGAGCAGAGATGTAATACACGCTATCATGAGCATCCAGGCTGCCTCTTCCTCATGTGATATCATCATGCCTGCCTCAGACGTTACACTCTCCCAATGTTATGTCCATAAAATCCTTTTTTATTGTTTGTTATAAAACATAATACAGTTTTACTGTGCCCTTCACTGTTGGAACATTGGAATCCCTGTTACATGGTAATGCCAAAGACGTACACGTTGCCATTAATGACAATTCCATCGGTTAGCCCTTTCAAGGACCCCACACACACACTCTGGAAAGGAAGAGTTTGGGGGAACAGAGCAGCATAGAAACCGTAGTTGTCAGGAAATCATTTGTCAGTCCGTCAGTCAATACATTAAAAAAATAAAGAGCTCATGTCTTTAAAGCTGGACTCTTTTGCTTCCCTGTCTCTCAAGCCCCACCGGCCCTTTCGGAGGGAAGAGATGGATCAAAGACCAGGTGAGCCATGAAACAAACCTACTTTGGAACTTGGACTGTGCACATGGGATGAATATTCGGAGGTTCCACTGTTTGAAAACCAAAGCAGATTCCTCGACTGACCATGGGAAATCTAGCACACCAAGGAGATCCTTTTAGATTCCCCCCCCCTATGCAAATCAATGGAAAAGGGAATCAGGTTTCATTGTTTGCAGAGGTGATGACTCTAAATTCTGCAGTCTCCCTGTGGGAATCCAGGCGGGTTTCTAAAAGTCTCTTTTGTTGTTTTTAGTCTCAATTGACTCTCCTTTGCTTAGTACAGATGATAACGGAAAGCATTTTGTGATGATTCAGCAATAGGATCGGCAAGGAACACCTGGTAATGCAAAGCATATCCCAGTTTGTCTTCTGGAAGGGGGCAGCTGTGGGGAAAGGGATTTGGAGGGTATCTGGAAGAAGACACACCTGAGATGGGATGGATGGATGGATGGATGGTAGGAAGGATGGATGGATGGATAGATGGAAAAATAGATGGAAGGTAGAAAGCATAGATGGATGAAAAGATGGATTGATGAAAAAATAAATGGATGGATGGAAACAGATGGATGGATGGATGGATGGATAGACAGATAGACAGACAGATAAATAGACAAATAGATAGATAGATAGATAGATGGATGGATGGATGGATGGATGGATGGATAGATAGATAAATAGATTTTCTCTATCTATTTAATACCAGAGAAGAATTGATGACCTATAATTTCATTGTCCTCCAAAGAAGACCCATGAAGAATCCATTCTAAATTATTTAACACCATGGACTGTGCTCTGCTATATCTATATCTTACCCATCTTTCATCTAGTCAACTTAGCTCAAGTACAGAGAAGAAGAGAAAAGAAAATACAACTTTTCCAAAGGAAAAGTTTGTAATGGCAACCAACCCCACCAGAAGATTCTTAAGAAATACTCCTGGGTTAATGGGATTATGCCTTAACTTTGAAAAATAGAAAGATTATTAGAAAAGTTCCCCCCACAATAGGAGGGTGTGTGACACATTCCACTAAGCATAAGCATTTGCACTGGGCTGAAACAGGAATCAACTCTACTCTGGCTTGCAACATCTGAGGCATCTCACTCTATATCATACTTATCTTCCACCTTTTCACCTTGCTTAGGACATCCCTGGTGGTGGTTGTCTCCTTTCATCCTCCAACAGTTCTGTGAAGTAGATGGCTCAGAGATGAAGCAAGACCACCATCACCCAACTGAGTTTCACGGTTGAGCAGGGAGGTGGATCCTGGATTTCTCCAGACTTAATCCTGTGATCTACCTACGTTGTCTTGGTCCCCTTCGTGCTGATAGAGATGGCATTTCAAACAAGATCTTGCAGGTGCAGCCCAGACTAATTACTGATGCTAAATCTTGGATGGACAATCCACGATTGGGTCAGTGACTCTTGAGATATCCATTGGTGTTCAAGTCCACCTCTTTGTTCCACCAAGCCTTCCACGCGTGATATTTCTTCATGGTTTTGCGCCGGGCAAATTGGAAAATGCTTACCATGAAAAAGCAAGATACTGCATACATTATGAGACCTCCAACCTTGATGAAGACCCTGGGCCTGGGGGACAACAACACGCAGTACATCAGCCAAGCCCCAACCCCGATCCTCACGCCAGCAAAAAGCACCACAAAGAGGAAGTCCACCACGTCGCCTATCAAGCTGGGGTACAGCCCCTTCTCCCGCAGGAACCAGCGGGCCTGCAGGAAAGGGTTGGTGAGTTCACTGCCAAAGATGACGGCATTGACCTCGGCGGCCGACTCGCCCAAGGCCAGGGAGGCGCTGATGCCCAGGATGCTGACTGAGTGGTGCACCAACATCAAGGGTCCTTCGGCCTTAAAATAGACGCACCAGCCCAGGTCAAACAGGAAGTAGCCCAAACTGATGCACAACGCGTGGACCTGAAGCACTGTATTTGGGAACCCTAGAGGAGAGAAGAGCAGAGAGGAGAGGAGTAAAGCAAGAGAGAAAAATCATGGCTGCCATTCAGATCTCAGAATTACCAGAATCTTGGTTACTGGTAGTCTTCGGCTTACGGCAACATTTCTGTTGCTAAGAGAGACATTTGTTAAGAGAGTCATGCTCCATTTTATGACCTTTCTTGCCACAGTTGTTGAATCCCTGCAGTTGTTAAATTAGTAACACGGTTGTTAAGTGAATCTGGCTTCCCCATTGACTTTGCTTGTCAGAAGTTTGCAAAAGGGGATTATGTGACCCCGGGACACTGAAACTGTCATAAGTACATGCCTGTGGCCAATTGCCTGAACTTTGACCATGTGACCAAGGGGATGCTGCAATGGTCATAGGTGTCAAAAACGGTTATAAGCAGTGGTGAGATTCAGCCAGTCCACACCATTTCGGCAGAACCGGTAGCTAATTTTTTGTTGCCCAGGCCCAGAATGGACTTCCGGAAGCGGCATCCACACAGAGAACCGGTTGTTCACATATTTGAATCCCACCACTGGTCATAAGTCCCTTTTCTTGGTGCTGTTCGAATGCCCATTAAAGAAATGATTCTGAGTCATGGATTGCCTGCAATGGTGTGGTTTCATCGTGGCTTGTTGTGGGAACTCAGAGTATAAAAGGGAGACTCGAAGTTTGGTTCTATGGAAATGGACTGGCCTACCTGGGTAAGTCATGGGCCAGGGACCATCAATAAACCCAATGTAGCCAGAGAGACAGGTGGCAAAGACCCCATGGGTCAGTGTGACCAATCGGCAGCTCCATTCGCAGCCGCGCCCGTGGTAATGATGGCAGGACCAGGCGTAGAGGCAGAGCCAGCCACACAGGCTGAGCGCCACCCAGAGCATCATGGCCACCATCCTCCTGCAGGGGAATAGAAGGGAAATGTGGAAAGAGATGAATGAATGAATGAATGAATGAACGAATGAATGAATGAACGAGTTGCAAATGTTACAAATAGCTGTATATGTCCAACAACCAACAGAGGCATCTATGCCAACAAATACGCACAAAAGTATTAACAAATCACACAGAGGTTAGGAGGCCAACATTCCTGACATCTCCGGATAAATGGCAGCATTATTAATTGCATCAGGATTCTAAGGAAAGGAGGTAATTTTTAAAAAAAAAAAATAAACAATTTATATGGCTGCCTGTCTGGCTCCTGTGAGTCTGAGCAGCAAGCAAGAATTTAGAACCCAAAATAAAATAAAATAAAATTGACGGAGGGATGATACACCATCAAGTTGTTGTCAATTCTTAGCACCGCCTAGATTTTCTCCAGGACAACTCATCCCTAACCTGGTCTTTCAGGTGTCCCCACATGGCGGAACATCAACACTCAGAAACTGGAGTTGAATCCCATCCATCTTAAAGCTGACAAGGTGGAACACATCGCGCCGGAGGGTCTTTCTGGTCCTTCCATGACCAAGCCACATGGGATCTATGGTTGGGTCCCGAGCCCCACAGGACAAACCCTCCCTCCCTCTCTTAACCCTAGCTCACCCCATACATCCCGAGCCATGCGGATCTCCATCCCTCAGTCACCAGGTGTATCCCTTAGAGCAGTGGTTCTCAACCTGTGGGTCAGGACCCCATTTGGGGTCGAACGACCATTTCACGGGGGTCGCCAAACAAGGCTGTCCGCCATTTTTTCCCCCTTTTCTTTGGCCACGTCCCTGGCACCCGGTGATGTATAAGTGGTTGGGGGTCACCACAACAAGGGGAACTGTATTACGGGGTTGCAGCATTAGAAAGGTTGAGAACCACTGCCTTAGAGCAAACCCACCGCGTGAATTAACTCCGCGGAGACCCTCTTCTCCTCCCCATGGGAGTTGCAATCCCGTGTACGGGCGGAAAGATGCGGAACGGAGCCCCAGCCTCGCTTGGGCCCAAGCGCAACCTGCGGCGCACGCCTGGCCCGGCCATTGCGCGTTCCTTGCGCGCGCCCGCCGCCGCCTCCAGCTTTTTCTCCGAAGACCCCGCGGCCTCGCGCTCCCGCGGGCTGCCCGAAGCGCATCCCCGCTGGGCAGGAGCGCTCCCGGCTGCGATGGCCCGGGCGCTTCGGCCGCTTACCCCAGCCGGGAAGAGCGCGCGAGCGGGCGCACCTGTCGGAGCTCACCTGGCCAGCCAGGCCCCGGGCGCGCTTCTCCCGCTTCGCCCCCGGCAGCGAGGCGTCTCCCGGTGACCGAGATCACCGAGCTCCGTCCGGGCGGCGAGGATGGCAGGCGGAGAACGGAAGCCGGCTTAGGGTCACCTGCTGGTGCGGAGGACGGATGGCAGCGCCCGCGGGCACCGCGCCGGGCGCCGGACCGCGCGCGGGAGAGCTGCGCGGGCAAGGAGGAAAGAAGGCGCCCGGCTGGATTGCTTGCGCCCACGGGCTTGCAGGGCGAACGCGGCCAGGGGTTACCTGGCAGGCAGGCCGCGGCTCAACGAAAGCTCCCTTGAAGGCGCCTCCGCGGCCAAGTGGGGAGAGCCGTTTTCCGACGGCCGGTGGATGAAAGTAGCGACACTGCGAAGGGCCAAAGGAGCGCTGGGGATCCTGCAGGTACGGTAGATGCCATAGAAGGAGGCACCCACACTTAGTTTGCAAAGAAGTAACGCTGAAGTTAAATCACCGAAGTTAAGTCCCCGGTAACTACCTAGCAGTGAGGACAATTAACCGGTGGAACAGCTTTGCCTTCAGAAATGGTGGCCCCTCCATCGCTAGAGGCATTTAAGAAGAGACTGGACAGTCACTTATCTGCTTGAGCAGGGGGCTGGACTAGAAGACCTCCAAGGTCCCTTCCAACTCCTATCCTATCCTATTCTGTCCTGTCCTGTCCTGTCCTATTCTATATTCTATCCCATCCCATCCCGTCCAGTCCTGTCCTATTCTATATTCTATCCCATCCCGTCCCGTCCCGTCCTGTCCTGTCCTGTCCTGTCCTGTCCTATTCTATATTCTATCCCATCCCATCCCATCCCATCCTATCCTATCCTACCCTACCCTATCCTATAACTATCTGCATCCTGGCCAGTTCAGCAGGGCGTGAAGCAACCAGAAATCTGATCCAGCCAACCGCTGTTGAGTTATAGTTGGCAACGTGACTGTGCCAGTCCCTGGTTAGAATGCAATCAGTTAAAATGTTATTGGGTGTAAAGAAGATGTATTTGGCCAATTAAAATGTTTTAGAAGGCTAATGCTCACATCCATTTAAGAATCCGGCAATCGGGGAAGTTTTAATGGGTGTAAGACTAGAGGATTCATCTGTGTTTGCAGATAGATGTTGCTTTTATAACCTTTTACTTCTCTCAGCAAGCAGCCTGTATCTTCATCTCTGACCAGGAATCCTGGTTTCTTAAATCTGATGCTTTCTTGTTTCCTTTCAGATGTCTTTAAAGTTTATTAGTTGCTCGGGAAGTCCCATTGGGCCCAATATTATAAAGCGCCCCCCCCAATAGTTTTATACAAAAAGAAAGTTGCCCATTTATTAATCAATAATCACAGAATAATACACAACAGAATAAATACACTTATTAAATTCCATTCATTCAGGCAAAACTCCATCAAGTAGGTCTGCTCCCGCTTAGCAAACATATTGTGGATGGACAAATTCCGAACATCTTAGAATATAATTTAACAAACCATTGGCATCCTTGAATCTTATCTTTTCACCACAGATTCCCACATCGTGACAGATATCAAGAAATCACATCTGCACATCGCCATATCTTGAGTCACACATTAGGCTCTGGTTTTTCGTATTCACACAAATTTGTTAAAATGTGGATTAGTTTGAGTTTTCCTTGCTGTGGATATGACCCAGTTAAACTCCGCAAGCAGTCCTGGGGGACGTTTGAAGAGAGGGATTAAGGGCAGCTTTCTGGAGCATTGTGAGGTTAGCTGTAATTATTCCCCTGAGTACTGGAAGACAGTTTCAGGAGTATACAACCAAGGAGAAACCACTGCTTATTAAATGTGCACACTTCTTGGTGCAAAAGAGTTTTGGGAAGAATTGATGTAGCGGTTAAGACACGAGGCTAGGAAGCAAGAAACCATTAGTTCAAGAATAACCTTGGGGCAGTTACTCTCTTTCAGCCCAGCCTACCTCACAGAGTTGTTGTTATGGGGAAAATAGTTAGGAGGAAGGGGGAGGTGTTGGATATACTGGCCGCCATGAGTTATCTGTGAAAATAATAAAAGCGGGACATGATTGAATGAATGAACAAATGACTTGAGTGAAAGAATGAACGAACAAACAAACAAATGAACGAATGAATGAATGAATGAAGATCCCTAAAGGCTAGCTGTGTTGAGAAGAACCAACATCTTCTTTACATCTAGAAAACTGCTCATAGTGAGTGAAATCATGTTCTGGGTTTAGGACAGTTCCTCTGAAAACCTTGTACCTCTGAATGTATTACAGAAGGGTTTTTATATAGGCGCTTAAACAACAATGCTATCAACATTTTTTTAAAAAAACAGTACAATAATTTTGAGCAATGTACAAGAAATTTGGAGAAACAGATTCTTCTATTACGAAGCCAATAGTTTCAAGTCTTAAGGAATATTAAATATATTTGTTATGATCTAAAAAGAAGCATGCAACAAAAATTCTTTTTCAGGTTTATTAGTCTCCTAAAGAGAAAATTGGATTATCCCTCTCCAGTTAGAGATGAAGCACAGTGCATATATTTTGATCATTTTTACAATTAGTTCCTTGTGATCAGATCTGTTCATTTATGAAGCACTTGAGATACTGCAGTCAGCTGCTGAAAATATTGTTTTGTATTCCTCGAAGGGCACTTGTGTGTCACATACCACAAGTGGTCAGTTCTCCCCTTTTGAATTGGTTCTTGTCAGGAAATAGGCACCAAACGATCTGATTCCGTGCAGTTCAGGTTTCATGGTTTGTTTAAAAACTATAACAATTTTTATATAGATGCAGTTATTATGTCTGTATGGCAAAAAAGTAGGAAAAACCCCCAAGAACATTGTTCCCTTTGCTTGTCCTGTTCATTTTACTGGGGTTTTCGCATGTTTGTTTGTTTGACTTGTATTTGCAAGTTCTTAAAAATATTTTCATTTGTGGTTGTAAACAAACTAAGAACTGGAATGCTGTTGTTTTTTCCAGATACTGAAATCCGCTCTGGAGCAGGCAGTTCAAAAGCTATTCAAATCCCTCGGGATTTGCGCTGGGAAGAAATAGACTTGAGGAGACCACAGTAGGATGCAGTAGTGGAAATTTTTGAATGGAATGGCTGCTTCCAGGATGAGCAGATGCTGGCTCTGTGTGATGTGAAATTGCACCCTCTGGAGCAGTGGTTCTCAACCTTTTTAATGCCGTGACCCCCAACCGGTCGTAAGTCGAGGACTACTCAACTGGTCGTAAGTCGAGGACTACTCAACTGGTGCAGCACCGTTTGCAGAATGGGACTTTTGGCGGGCTCAGCAGGGCAGAGACAGCCTGGACAATTCCTATTGGCTTTGAAAGCCAATAGAATTAGACTCTATTCAAGAGAGTCTATTCTATTGGCTTTCAAAAGCCAATAGAATAAAAGGGAGTAGCACAGCTAAGGAAAAGGGGGGAAAAATGGTGGACTGCGTTGTTTGGCGACCCCCGTGAAAGGGTCATTCGACCCCAAATGGGGTCCCGACCCACAGGTTGAGAACCACTGCTCTGGAGGCACAAACCTTGTATAGATTTACCCCAAATTAATGGCCTGTGATTAGTAGGTACCCAGCCTCTAGTTTAGCCAGGGAAGATAACACTACCAGCAATCTGTCTATGGAGATTCTCACATTCTGGAGCAAATCCACATTCTGGACAGAGAGGACCACTGGTTTGAAAGAAGGGTCAGGGAGGCCATCCATGTTAAAATTGAGCAGCCCTCTCTCAACAGAGGGGGAGGGAGGGGCACGACACCACCTGTCTCCTGTTTACAACACAGTCCTTTGGCTAAGTGAAGTTTTCACATCCATTTGCACTCTTGAAAGTACAGATTAATCCTGCCAGTGGCCTCAACAATTCTCAGAGAGCGAATGACCAACCTTCGGAATGCTAAGACCAAGGAATATAAACCCTTCCATTCTCCACCATTCAGTCAGAACTGAAGAAGCTTCTTGGATGAGAAGCAAAATATTTTCAAGGACAAAAAGTAGAAAGTCCAGTTGCATTTGAAAAACAAAAGCACCTTTTATATCTTATATCCTGTCCTTGACTAACAAAACAATCGTCTCTTCTTTACCACCCGAGTTAGCTGCAGTGATCCTCTAAACCAGGTGGGACTTTGACTGTCCCCCCTAGCTTGGTCACCAAAGCAGAATGACCCAACTCTTCTTGCTTCAGATCCATACTTCACTGTAATCCATCTTAGCTGCCCCCATGGGCAGGTGGCCTTTGATTGGATTGGCTGATTTGAGAATTAAACCTCTTCCTCTTGCAAATATCTGTTCACAGGCCATTTCTCCCGTTATGTTTCTTTCTTCTGGAAGAACATCATCTTGAATTCCAGATGTGGGTCTAGAGCTGGATCATGAATCCAGATCTGGCATGGCAAGTAGGTCCAAGCTCAGCAAGATCAGTTTGCTCCTTGCAAGTTGGGTTCCACAGGCCCCTGGATACCCAAGTTAGGAAGAAGCCTGTTACACTTGGTGTGATCTTCTTGGGTTCTTTCACTTTTCCAAGCCTGGAATTTCTTGAGGATTTTCTTCTTGGCAAACGTGAAGATCTCCAGCAAAAACATTAAGGATACAGTATACATACCGAGGATTCCACCCTTGAGTGTCCCAAACGTCTGGGGAGACTTCATCACGGAACGAATAATCCATGCACCCCCGACAATCCGCAGCCCCAGGAAGAGAGTCACAAACAGGATATCCACCACATCTCCAGCCAGGCTGTGGTAGCTTCCGCTGTCTCGTAGGAACCAGCGCATTTGCAAAAATGGGTTGGTGATCTCGCTCACGAAGATGATGGCACTGATCTCAGGGCCCGACTTGCCGGTATCCAAGACCAGCGACATGCCGCTCATGCTGAGCAGGTGGTGAGTCAGCATCAGATCGGTCTCGCCTTCGAAAAGGACACACCAGCAGAAGTCAAAGATGAAATAGCCCAGCGACAGACAGAGGACGAATTCCTGGAGAGGTGTGTTTGGATGGCCTAGAAACAAGGGTAGATTTACAAAATAAAAGCAATTTAGTTTTTCAGTTCCCATTTGCGTTTTCTCCGTTCTGAAGATCCCAAAGCAATGAGGGTCGAGGACAGGGGTCTTCAAACTTGGCCCTTTTATGACTTGTGGACTTCAACTGCCACGCTGGCTGAGGAATTCTGGGAATTCTGGGAGTTGAAGTCCACAAGTCATAAAAGGGCCAAGTTTGAAGACCCCTGGTCTAGGACAACTCGCTACGGCCAACTCTCTGCGCCAACTTGTCATGGGACAATTCAACACGTTATTCATCTTTTCATTCACTTACTTTGATTATTGGTGACCACGTTTTTATTGAAATGATTTCAACTCTTTTATGTCTGGATTGGTTTTATTTTATTATTATTGGCCACGGTTCCATCAAAATTAATTTAACTTTTGTATTTGTTGAACTATCCTGCAGAGAGTTTTCCCATGGCAAGTCACCCTCTTCTCCAAAACACCCGAAGGCAGGACAAGAAGCAACGGATGGAAACTAATCAAGGAGAGAAGCAACCTGGAACTAAGGAGGAATTTCCTGACAGTTAGAACAATTAACCAGTGGAACAACCTGCTTCCAGAAGCTGTGCATGCTCCAACACTGGAGGTGTTTAAGAAGAGACTGGACAACCATTTGTCTGAAATAGTATAGGGTTTCCTGCCTGAGCAGGGGGTTGGACTAGAAGACCTCCAAGGTCCCTTCCTATTCTGTTATTTTGTATCCTAAGTTATGCCATTTGGAAGCAGTGAAATGATGGATTTTAAAGCTGGTTTAATGTGGACCATCGTTTTGACATCTTGAAGCTTTAATAAATTTGCCAGTTGAGGTTTGATACACATTCCTTTTACCTCCCCACTGTCACTCGACTGAATCTTCTGCCAAGAAAATATCCTACTTTCTCAAAGAAACTTATGGGGAATGGCATCAAACATCACCTCTAGAAATCAAAACATTTTAGTCTAGACTTTAAAATCTCTATTTTGAAAATTACATCAGGGCAGTGAATACTGCATAGACTAAGTGAGTTTGCCGTGTGTTGAGTTCAACTCTCAGTGGGGTTCAGTGCTTTTCCCTCCCTTCTTTAGTGTTAACTGTGCTAAGAGAAGGTTTGTTTTAATCATTGGTTGTACAAGCCATAACTGGCTGGGTTTGACCAACTTGCTAAGCTGTAACTTATAATTTTAAAAATTACAGTGTTCAGGTTTAAGCAATATATTAAGAGGGAAGCCATGTTTTGCAATCCACATCTATTGGCTTCATATACTGCAGCATGCTAAGTCGGAGCCAAGCAAACCACACATTGTGGCTAAACGGGGCTTGTTGTAAGCTACCAAGAATCTCTAAGGCAGGGGTCTTCAAACGTGGCCCTTTTATGACTTGTGCCTGGCTGAGGAATTCTGGGAGTTGAAGTCCACAAGTCATAAAAGGGCCACGTTTGAAGACTCCTGCTCTAAGGCAACAATGGCAAACAAACAAACAATATTTGCACTATTCAGATGACCCTAAGGGCACAGATGAACCTCCAAGTGGCCACAATGGCTCTCAGAGGGAGTACTAACAACCAGATGACTGCAAAGGAATATAAACCCTTCCATACTCCAGCATTCAGTCAGAACCGAAGGAGTTTCTTGGATGAGAAGCAAAATGTCTTCAAGGAAAAACAAAAAAAAAAGTCCAGTTGTCTTTTGGAAAAAAGCACCTTTTGGACCTTGAATCTAGAGTTAGTCATCCCTCCTACAGATCGAAAACTCTCCCTGGAGCAAATTAAAGGATGTTTATGAAACTTCAAGGGAGTTAAAGCTGAAACTCAAAATTCTCTTTACAGATCCCTTTGAAGAGCATGACTCTTCCAGCTGAGTTCACATTCCTGATTCTCCTCCCCAATCTCACTGTAATTCTCCCTGTAAACATACTGGGCTCTTCCATGGTAAAAGGGCAGAACGCCACAGCTTACTATTAATTTAATACGCTTCAAAATACAGGATATTATTTTTTGGTGCTGCTGCCTAGCTCTTATCACCCCTGGAGTAATTACAGGACTCCCACACTGCAAATAATGAACAGGACTTGTATATGCTGCCCCTGTTGTATGGGGCTGGGAGTCAAAAGCTTAGAATAAGATTTCCCTCCAAGGAATTATTTGACCCATAAGGCTGGCAGGTGTTGTGTGAAAGGGGTTCAAGATCTAATCCCAGCAAAGGAGAGCTAAACTAAAGGTAGGAGAGGGCTTGTGAAGACACAACAGAGGAGGCAACATGCAGACTAGCAAAACTGAACCAACATTTAAGCCCAAGTGATCAAGACAGGAAGCAGTGAATGAGACAGAGAGAGAGATGAAAAATGGATGATTTTTGAAAGAAAGAGAGAGAAAAGAAAAAAGAAGAAGAAAAGGAACAAAGGAAGGCAAAAGAAAGAAGAAAAGAACAAGGAAAGAAAAAAGGGAGGGAGGGAGGAAAAAGAAGGAACGAAAGAACAGAGAAAGAAGGAAGGGAAAGGAGGGTGGGCGGGCTATAGGACTCACATGCTTTTGGTATGTCCTGGAGAGCACTGTTTTCATTTGGAGAAGGAAGTTTCTAGTCCTTATGACTGAAACTGGGTTGGCTACTCTGTTAACTAAAGTCTCAGAATTCCATAAACAATCACCGCCTACCTCAAAGATTATATAAATAGTTAGATAAACCTAAGGGCTCTTAATTGGTGACTGACTTTATACTTGCCAACATTTTGCTTATGCATTATCACCACCAAATATGGTGTATCAAGTGGTGATCTCAAACAACAGCTGTCTTCTCTGAAATTCTTGGGATTCGTGCTTCAGAAGTGAGAGAAATATCCTTGCAGGGCAAGTCCAACTTGTCCCTGACTATGTGCTACCCACCTGCAATTTGTAAAGACATCTCGGTGTTTAATTGGGTCACCAAGGCCTGAATAATGTAGTGAATAACAGGGCTTAGAGTGCAGAATGCAACATTCAAATCTCTGTTTACAATCCAGTTCGATCAGTTGTGATCTCTCAATCTTCCCCACCCTGCAAGGCTGAGCTGAGGTGAGAGGTTTTTGGGCTATGGGGAAGAGAGCAGGAAAATGTAAAATTCCCTGACAATTACAAGAATTAATCAGTGGAGCAGCTTGCCTCCAGAAGTTGTGAGTGTTCTAGCACTGGAGGTTTTCAAGAAGAGATTGGACAGCCTTTTGTCTGAAATGGTATAGGGTTTCCTGCTTGAGCAGGGGGCTGGACTAGAAGATCTCCAAGGTCCCTTCCAGCTCTGTTATTCTGTTTGAGAGCCACTGCATGTGCTAAACCAGGGTTCCCAACCTCGGCCTCTTTAAGACGCATGGACTTCAGCTTGTAGAGCAAGGCAACCACAAGCCATTTGAGGCTTGCTGCAGGGAACCCCAAGGACAATTCATGGAGTCACCAGCAGATGAACTGGACCTAAAGAACTTCTAACTAACCATTTTGCACCAATTATGGAGCATGCTAATTACAGGAAGAAGTGGAGAAGCTGTTGATGAAGAACGGAAAAAGTAGGAAGTTTTCTCTATACCAGGTAGAGCAATGTTGGTGGATCGTTGCTGGAGAAGTCATATGAGCTGGGTGGAAGATGAAACTAAAATGGAAGGTGATGCATTGGTGGAAGCAGCTGATAATGTGCAGGAGGAGAACTTGTGGAGATCAGAAAGGTCACCTGGATTAGGAGAAGCAGTGACAAATGGGCAAGAAGGCTAAGAGCCCGATCCTTAGGTTAAGAGGTTTCTAATTTAAAGCTTGGGGCCATCAGCTATTCCTCTCCTTCCCCCTTCCTCCATTGTCCCAGGATAATAACATAGGCCAACTTCTGAGCACAGAGTTGTACGATGTTTGAGAATACAATGAAACATTCAGAGGTGCAAATTGAGAGGTTGGGAAGCATCTATCTGAACCTGCCGCTTGAATCATAGAGGCATTGGGTCTTCTGGAAGGCTTAGCACAAGCTGCTTTGGGGCTTCCCCGTGTCTTCTGAACATGCCGATAAGACCCATCTGTCAGATTCGTTGCAAGAATGATATTTGTGCATGCCACTGACTGGCAGGGAGCTGGAAAGAGCCATGTTGAGCCCGTTGAGAAGACAGGTTGCCTCAGTGCTTCAAGGACCAGATTTGACCATTTTCTGGTGTCACTTTGACGGGTCCTTGGTGTTCTCTGAGCTTGAGGGGTTTTTTTTGGTTGGTTTTTTTTTTTTTTGCAGACATTTCATTACCCAAACTAGGTAACATCATCAGTGCTAATGATGCAAGAAAACAAGCAAGCTCAGAGAGCACCACGGAGCCCTCATTTCAACCCTGAGCTACAAATATTCTCCTTTGTTGGTCTAACTTTGCCTAATCTTGGTTCCAAGGCTGACACGGCAGGAATTTTAGATCACCCTCCAGCAGTGTGGAAAGGGCTGGTCCAGTGGTGGGATTCAACCAGTTCGCACCACTTCAGCAGAACCAGTAGCTAATTTTTTGTGGCCCAGGCCCAGAATGGACTTCCGGAAGTGGCATCCACACAGAGAACCGGTTGTTCACATATTTGAATCCCACCACTGGATAGACAGACAGACAGACAGACAGACAGACAGACAGAAATAGATACAGTGGTGGGATTCAGCCAGTTCGCACCACTTCAGCAGAACCAGTAGCTAATTTTTTGTTGCCCAGGCCCAGAATGGACTTCTGGAAGCAGCATCCACAAAGAGAACTGGTTGTTCATCTATTTGAATCCCACCACTGGATAGATAGATAGATAGATAGATAGATAGATAGATAGATAGATAGATAGATAGATAGATAGATAGATAGATAGATAGATAGAAATAGATACAGTGATGGGATTCAGCTGGTTCACACCACTTCAGCAGAACCGGTAGCTAATTTTTTGTTGCCCAGGCCCAGAATGGACTTCTGGAAGCGGCATCCACACAGAGAACCGGTTGTTCACATATTTGAATCCCACCACTGGGCTGGTCCTAGAGGGCTCGTCTGTCACGCCACTCTGATACTCCTTGCTTCTTCCAATAAGCTGGTGGAGCTTCCCCCCCTCCTTCCTACCTGCATGAGTCAGCGGCCAGGGACCATCAATGAAGACAACGTAGCCAGAGAGGAAAGAGACCATCGTGCCATGCAACAAAGTGACCATTCGACAGCTCCATTCTGCGCTGCGATACCTGCTTCGATGCAAAAAACCCCAGTAAAGGAAAAGCCAAGTGCAGGTGCTACTGATGATTTGGAGAAGGATGGGGGACATGTTCTTGTAGCTGAAAAGAGAGAGAGAGGAAGAGAGAGTGGGAAGTAAATATGCACACTAGCCCAATGACAATGAAGCAGGATGGCTGGAAGCTGAAGTAACAACAACAATAATAAAGTTGAAAGGGACCTTGGAGTTCATCTAGTCC